TTCTAAGATTTGATTTACATTTCTAATTAAAATTGTTTTTGATCATACGTATAGATAATTATATAAAAATTCCAAAATTCTAAAATTTCAAATACATACAAAAACAATCATATGTAAATTTTAAATTTGTGAATATTAAAATTTTATATTTTAATTACATATATTCACCCTGCGCAAGGCGCAGGTCTTATCCTAGTTTTATATTAAAAACTTACATTTGTATTTCTTTTGCTTAACAATTTTAGTGATATTTTTAAAAAAAGTTACAAAGTCGCTATAAAAAATTTTGAAAACAAAGTATTAACATATCTGTTATCTTCTAAAAACACAAATAAAATAGAAAAAATAATATATTTTATTGGTTATATTTGTAATTAAATTTACAATTGTCAAAAAAATTAAAAATTAAAGTTGAAGTTTTGGTAAATAATTTGTTTGACTTAATTGGCTGTAATCATTTACTATACATGCATTTTGGTCAATAAAGGAGATTTACATTAAAATGGTAATCAACATGAAAGTAAATATATAATTAGTACAATGTTTATTTGGATTTGGGAGCGAATGAACAATCAGGTGGATCATCCGAATGCATAATCTCTCTAACAACAAGATTCCTTGCTCGATTAATAGTCATGAAACACAAGTAGATATGTTCTTCAAGCTCATCAAGCTCTTCACTAAAACACTCTTCGCATCTCTTCAACTCCCGAGCCACTTCCTCCCCGCCTCGAACCCGACCCGATCCCCTCCCAGCCCAAAACTCAGCCATGGCTCTAACGTGTTCCACTTCATCATTTATCCGGGTCACCAACCGGCTTATCGTGTCCAAGTCACGGCTTAAAATGTAAGTACCTTTCGCAGCCACGTCGAGACGAGCGGCAGTTTTCGTCAGCTTGTTCCTTAAACCAACCGGTTTGAATCGACCGGTTAAAAGTGTCGGACCGGCTATGAACAAAGCGAAGGCGTGAGAGGCGATGGTTACAATCAACGTAGTGGTCAAAGCCAAAACGAGAAGGCCTGAGCTGTGAGTTAGTCCGTTGACGAGCTTGAGCTTGGCTCGTGTCTTGTCTCGGCTCGACTCTAACCGTTTTAGAAGGTTTAAACAGCCGGTTCTTGTTAATTGAATTCGAGAACCGGACGAGATAAACGGGTCGAACCATCTTGATAGCTCCGTGAATTGGTCTAAAAAAGCCAACGAGTTATGTTTGTCGGACTGAATCTTGGGCTTTAAAGATTCGTATTTGGACCGGAGACGGTGAATGTTTTTGAGTAACAACGTGCAAAGCAAGAAAGCGTTTGCTGTTTCCAAGAAGTAATCAGCGAGAAGAGTACGGGTGGGTCTTCCGACCCGGGATACATCCAGGATTCGAGTAACGGTGTTCGGATCCGGTTCTAGTAGGTTATGTGCGAAGAGGCGGTATGACATGAGACGAACTGACGTGGAGGATGATTCTATCGGTGAAGAAGAAGAAGACAACGTGGACTTTTTGCGGTTTAAATGAATGACACGTGTCCAAAACTGATTGTATGATTCTGTACGAAAGGCGTTTGCATATTCTTCTCGGACGTCCACGCTATCACCATCTTTGGGACTTGAATTTCCCGAAGCTGCATCAAAGAACGTTTTATAAAGAAACTCGAATTCTTTTTCTCATTGGTTACAATATTGACATGGTAGTAATAAAATGAAATAAAAGTTAAAAAACCTGTGGATGCAAGAAGCCTTTTGATCTTTGACGAAACTTTTATGCCCATTATATTCCTTGAGATCTTGGATGAAGAAATATATATATTTTCTCTTTGAGTAGAGAGCTTTTGGTTTATGATGTTGTGAGAAGAAACTGAGAACAAGACGAAGATGGTTTGCTTTTCTTTATTATATAGTTCGTGGTATGATATATTTATCATAATGAAAGGTTAATAGAAGAAATATTTGTTTTGATTGCTAGAAATAGGGATATCCAAGGATTTTGATGGGAAACTATTAATTTTATTAGTACTTGTAGTGGGAGTGAAGAAATATAGAAAAGTCGATGCTTGTAAATGTAAAATAGGGTATCCAAGTGAATATAACAAGTTATCAACAGCGTTTCCTATCCATTCATTGCATTTTATGGAAAGCCTTTACGCCAACTCATAGATCCATGTTTGCCAAATCTGGAAGGTGTGGTGAGAGTTTATCCAATTTCGTTTTCATCTAGATCTTTTCGTGAGAATCTATTTCTGTTTAATAGTGAGATCCGTCTAATAAACAGGGATCCCTTTGATAATGATGTCTGAAAATCAATTAACATTTTAAAGAAGCATAAACAAGAACATACAAACAATGTGACTCGCGAACCAAAAGAAACTCAAGTTTCCAAGACTCGAGTCATGATAGAGGAATGTGTTGGTACAAGAAAGACTAAAGAACCGTACCAAAAGACAAAGTTATTTGCGATGATTCTTCCAAACCCGGTATAAGCAGATGAACCGATCAAATGAAGACATAACGTACAAATTTAACACTTGACCCATTGGAAATTCTTTCTTGCCTTGGCTTTTCCAGGTTTCTTCCTTTCCACAACTCTCGAGAGTCTCTTGTCAAAAACCCAGCTAAAACATATTGAAGATGAATAAATAAGATAGCAATCAAGAAGAACAATCAACCGACAACCACACAACATGCCTGTCATCTCTGCTAAAGATACACAGAGTCTATAATGCGTTTAGGATCTTGCTTACCAGCTCGAAGTGCTGTCCTCATATCTGGTTCCCAGTTTTGCAATGCCTTACTGATACCTAAAGATGTTGAAATGGGCCTTAAACCAAACATTTTGAGTACACGGTTCACCATGGTTAAATGCTTGGAAGTTTCTTAATTTGCATAAAGAGATGTCAACATAATCTGTTTACTTATGGTAGCTAGTGTAAATAGATAAACTCAAGCAATGAGAGGCTATAACCAAAAGGTGGTCGTCGAAGGGTTTTTACCTGTAGTTCCAACGCCATTAACAGTGCACTTAATACCTAAGATTTTGATTTCAGCAAGTGGGCAGAGAAGTGCAGCTCGATGATCAAGCATAGGGAAATCGCCATTTTCACCAACTAATGCATCCTCACCACTGTCTTAATGGTTACCTAACTTCACAAATTTTGCAGCCTGCCTTTTCAAGCAGAGGAAGCAGAGCAATGTTAACCGAAAACCATTCTTTCCCTTTCCTAATAGACAGATGATTAAGCGATAATCAATAAAAGCATTCTCTACATCAACATAGCAAAGGGTCGTGATCTAGAGAGAAGACTATGTTACTCGAAATATTTCACCATGCCTAATCAACTTGGAAAAGTGAATTAACAATGTGAATCCTGAACAAGTAGGGAATAAGAAACAACTACTCCAAATTCAAGGGGCATTTACACAAACAATAAGAAGATTATTATGTTCAGTAACAGGACCCAAGAAAGACCAAACATGTATGATGAAGGTAACAAACAACCAAACAAACAAAGTGCAGGAGGAGGCTCTGTCTTTCTCTCAACTCAGCTTTGGATTCAAGATTAAGGGTCTGTATGGTATGGGTGGAGAAGGTAAAATCCTCAAAAGCCCTAAACAAACCAGATAAACAAAGGATCCAGCATCTTCACTTTAGAATCAAAAGATGCCTACTCCGCCCATACATACAGATACTTAATCCCTGAAACCATCCATCTTGGGTGAGACAACAATAACGAACGCAGCAGCTGAAACTACTTGAATAACCAAAAATATAGAAAGTATCTTTTGATCCTCCAGTTTCTCGATCCCATAGCGTAACCCTAGATCGACATATAGATTCAGATACACATATGACTTTGATGAGACAAGGCCCATTAAAAATCTGTCCCAAAGGCCCAAACACATAATTAAAGTTAAATAATAAAATTACCCGATACGACGGCGTTTAAATGAAATCACACGTATAGTACACGGTTAATTAGCTGCGTACATATAAAGCTAAGGGCTATACCTACCTGAGCATATCACACGAAAAGTGCAAAACTCTCTTTAACAGTAGAGAATATAGATTTTTATAAGATCGATCTCAGTCTCACCATGAGTGCTGCTGCAATCGTAATTAGTGGTATGATCCTTGCGAACCAACAAAGAAGATGGGATCAGACTTTCGAAGGCTGGATTTGTGAGACATACCCAGAAACTGCACACAGTATTCAATCTCAGAAGCCAGAGCTCAGGGATTATTATGTGAGCGTTATCTCCGATATCATGTGGAAACTTGGGCACAAGCGTACGCTCTCTGATGCTGAATTAACCTCCACTTCTGATCAATTGGCTCATCTGACGCAAGCCGGTTTAAAAGTGGAATGGTTGTCCTCTAAGCTTGAGAGGAAGAAACGTGAAGCTTACTTGCAGACGAAGAAACGTGAGGCTTGTGAAACTCGGATTCTGGAACTCAAACAAGAGCTCAAGAAACTTGAGATTGCCAAGTCTGGTCTCAAAGCTGAGTTGAAACTAGAGAAGGCCAAGTTGAATCCTCGTTCGTTTAGGAATATTTGGGGGAATTGCTTCTCTTGCCTAAACACATAAAGTCTCCCCAAACTGCTTATTTTTGCTTAAAATAAGATATGATTTGTATTATTCTTTTCATGTTGTATGTCACGAAAGATTGTTTGATTTTGTTGTTTCTTCTACCATGCATGTATGTGCATAAGACTTTTAAAAAAATACAGGCTAATGAATTGCTGCGAGTTAGTGAACACAACTTCCTACTAGTATTTTTCTGTAGATTTTGATTGATTTTAGGTTACAAACCTAGTATATTCTGTTAGTCCTCATCAGTCATCACATGAGGTCAAATAAAGAATTACGTTGAAGAAGAAACCAAGTTGGATCAGTATTTCACTTTAGCTTGTTTATAGTTGGTTTTTATTTTAGAGATAATCTGCTGAGACATAATAAATCACCCTGTAATTAGAAAATTATCCATGATGTGACTTTTCCAAATTAATGATCATAATGCCACTTTGCCTATTTCTGCCTATACTTCCACCACACTCTCTCCTCACACTCTCTCTCTCTCTTTCTATTCCACTTCTTTCCCACTCTCAAACTCTCTCATCATCTTTTTTTTATCATTCTCTCTTCTAATTTTTTTTGTACTTTTCTTTATCTAATGAAATATTTTTTATCTTGAGGTTTCAAATTATTATATGCTATATATAATACCAACAGATGTATTGTTAATAATATATATAAAAATAATATGGTGTTAGCTGTTAACAAATATATGTACCATAATTGTTAACAGAAGTGTTAGTTGTTAATAAATTTGTAGATGTCAATACATGCATCATGTATTATATGTTAACAGATAAATATTGTCGAAGTTTCAATTTCTCTCTCGAACTGAATAAATTTATCAGTAACAAAACATGTATCAGCTAACAAATGAGTTAACCACTAACAATTAATCTAACACTAATATCGAATTTATAACAAATTGTAGATTTTAGAGATGTTTAATTATAGCAATTAATTTATGTTTTCAACCATATCAAATGTTAAATTATTTTATCGCTTATAATATTATTATATTATATTTTCAAAAATATTATTTTTTGATAATATTTTTAGCATTAAAAAATCTAACAAATATGTAGACAAAAGTGAAGTAGATATAAACAATATGAATTTTACTTCTATGTAACCAGCAGAAAATGTATCAGTTGAAGAAATACATTTTGAACATTTTTAGATATAATTGTCTAGTTTGGGCCACTAACAGACAAACCATAAATTTGAACTTCGATTCTGGGTACTACACCAATTCTCCCTTTATTTTATAAGATTTTTCATATATCCTTACGTTTTATTATTTTTAGATCGTCCTTGTATTTTTGATACGCCACATGAATAATTCATTATTTTTTTCTAGTTACGTGAGCTTGACAAACACGGTTTAACTAATAAAGTCAAACCTAGACGCAGCTCCAGCCTAGACTTTTGGGAAAGTCAATTATAATTGGTTCAAGAATGAACCGGGAAAACAAACCGGTCATTATGTACAATAAGGAAGAAAACCAGCGTGCGAGATGCGCGTGTTGGTAAAACTTGGCCAACAGTAGCGCATGATAGACACACGGAGATTCCGATTCCCAAACAAATCGGGAAGACGAAAGAAACTCCTCGAGTGAATATGCCTTGTTTCTATCCCACTTTGTTCTTCTTTTCAGTGTATCAAACAAGACAAAACTCTCAATCCAACGTACAATCACATATCCAAAATGATCCAGAGGAAAGGAGGCTATATATATTACATAACGTTACTAAATGCCAATCTGAATTTCAGGGAAACCACCTTCAAGAGTCTTGACAAATTCATGGAAGTAGTTACCAGTGGTTGAATTACTTGGCTGATAATTTGAGCCTGAAACAGCTGAAATCTTCAGATGTGAAGGCTTGACTCATCAACCTTCTAGGTCCCTATGTGCCTAAGAAGAGTTTTTTTTTGTAGTTTCTCCACGAAGGTGCGGTGCTTCTTGGCGCTTTGGTAGTTAGTTGGTCATGAAATATTCGTAAGCAAAACTCCATTTCAGTACAAGACTGCATATATGTAATTGTGATTGTAAAGCATACAGCAGAGATCAAAATAGTCAACCTATGCATATAGTAAAAATATAATAGGGAAGGATTGCTGAAACTGCAAAAAGACAGATGCTCGAATCACCATCTGCAAATGACCCCCAATGTAGCAAATAAAATAGGTAGGGTCCAGAAAAGAGAAAAGAAGCAGAGCAAAGATCACGAGCAGTGTCTTCATAATTGCAAAATAGATCCAATGCTAACCGAAAACCATTCATTTCCTTTCCTAATAGACAGATGGTTCAATAAAATCACCCTCTTCATCAATATATCAATGGGGACTCATGATCTAGAAAGAAGACAATGTGACTCGAAATACGTCAAACATACCTAATCAACTTGTAAAGTGAATTAATAATATGAATCTTGAACAAGTTTCAAGGAGAAGGAATAAGGGACAACTACTCCAAATGCAAGAGGCATTACACGAATCATAAGAAATATATTATGATCAGTAACATGATCCAAGAAAGACCAAGGAGGCACAAGCAGTGTAACTTGCTAAAGTCCTAAACCAGAACAATCCTTCTCCTAGTTCTAACAGAGATACTAGAAGTTAAGAGATCATATATCTGCACTGCGTTTTCAATTAACACAGAATTTTTAAGCTACCATTATAGAGTCATAATATGTATATGTTATTCCTTCATTAACAAAAAAAAAAAAATGAAATTTTGATCCTATGACAATACAACCAAATACTCACCAGCTCACATCAAATCAAATTTTCACAATATTGGATTTTAATATTTATTAAAAGGAATATCCCCTATATATTATTTGCGAAGTGATTTTGCCACATGTCCTCTTTACAATCAGTTTCACAAAAAAAATGGTGACATGTCTACTAGAATTAATGACATGACATATGATTAAATATGACATGGACAATTGCATTTAATGTTAATATATATTTTTGGAAAGCTTTATAAAATATGGTAACAACTCATATATTAGATTTGATGTCGATTTATATTTTTAGAAATATTTTTTAAAATATGGTAATAACTCATAAATCATCATTAAAATAAATATATTCAAATATCGCATTATAAATTTCGAAAATATTATTTAATTATATATTTTAAAATTATACAATTTTATTACAAACTTTTCAAAAATGTATACTTTTTCGAAAATTATTAAAATTTAATCGTAAAATTATTAATTTCTTATATATTTACAAATTTAATAAATATTGTCTAATTTTAATTTTTGATAATTATATCTTTTTCTACAAATTTATTCAAAATATTTAATTAAAATAAATAGATAAAAAATCTATCTAAGATTATAATTTTAAATATATACATACATATTCTTAAATAAAATTTAAAATATTTCTATTATTTTTATGTTTAATTAAACAAAATTTTGTATTAAAATAGTGATAAGAAAAATAAAATTTATAATATTAATAAAATTTTAATTTTAAACATAATTTGAAAACTTTATAAAATATGGTAACAACTCATATATTAGATTTGATGTCGATTTTTATTTTTGAAAATATTTTTAAAATATGGTAATAATTCATAAATCATCATTAAAATAAATATATTCAAATATGGAATTATAAATTTCGAAAATATCATTTAATTATATATTTAAAATTATACATTTTTATTACAAACGTTTCAAAAATGTATACGTTTTTGAAAATTATTAAAATTTATTCGTAAAATTATTAATTTCTTATATATTTACAAATTTAATAAATATTGTCTAATTTAATTTTTGATAATTATAAATTTTTCTACAAATTTATTTAATATATTTAATTAAAATAAATAGATAAAAAATCTATCTAAGATCATAATTTTAAATATATACATGCATATTCTTAAATATAATTTAAAATAACAAAAATATTTTTCTATTATTTTTATGTTTAATTAAACAAAATTTTGTATTAAAATAGTGATAAGTAAAAGAAAATTTATAAAATTTTAATTTTGAACATAATTTATATTGTATCTGTTAAACAAATATTTAAAAAAATTTTACTGCACATGGTGCGGGAGAACACCTAGTGTTTTAATATGTGAACAAAAGAGACAGAGAGAGAAACATATCAAATCAGAGTTCATGTGTGAATGTGATGGTCAACTTGTGTCAGTATGATGAAGGGTAACAAACAAACAAAGTACATGAGCCTCTCTCTTTCAGTCAGCTTTGGATTCAGAATTTAGGGTCTGTATGGTATGGGTGGAGAAGGTAAAATCCTTACTTTTGAATCAAAAGATGTGATTGTGCCTACTCTGCCCATACATACAGACACTTAATCTCTGAAACCATCTTCGGTGAGAAAAATATCTATTGACCCGCGGATCTAATTGAATAACCAAAAATAATAGAAAGTATCTTTCTTCGAAGAGGATTCGATCCTCCAGTTTCTCGATCCCAAAGCCTCCTCCATAGCTTAACCCTAGATCGACCGGATGACTCACTTTCTTAAATTAGACAAGGCTCATTTAAATTATGGCCCAAAGAGTCAGACCCAAACACATAAAAGTTAATAATAATAAAAAATTATCCCCCGATAAGAAGTCTAAACAAAATCACACGTATGGTACTCGGTTCAGGTTTTACCCTAATCGCAAAAAAGGAAATAGAAGAGCATAAAAAGAATAGGGAAAACTTGAGTCCCACCCAACTCACTATCCCGCTTTCGTTTAGTTTTCATCACTTTCCATTCTCTACTCGCTAAGTCTCCTTCTCCACGGAAAGATGGCTACGATTACTCTGAGGGTTAGAAACTCCAACTTAATGAAGCAGACGAAGAAGAAGAATCGCATTATCTCTCTCAAAGAGATAACCAAAGCATCTTTGGAGACCGCTCTTGTGAAGAAACCTTCCTCCGACAACGTAACCCTAGAAAAAGAAGGTGGAACCAATTCGTCCTCCTCGTGGGTTAAATCTCTCTTACTCGGAAGAGGAGCGTACGGTTCGGTTTATCTAGGTACTAGTAGGAGCAAGACACACCCTACAGGTGAACGAGCCATCAAAACCGCTAAACTTTCTCACGCTTCTACTCTCATGGACGAAGGCAGGATTCTTGTCCGTTTACAATCTCCTTTCATTGTCCATTGCTACGGCGACGAGATCGCACGCGAGGAGGACTATTCTATGCAATACAATTTGATTCTCGAGTATTGCTCTGGCAGAACCATTGCCGATTTGATTGAGGATAATCATGGGGAGCTGCTTGAGTGTGAGGCCAAAGTCTTCACTAGAGATGTCTTGTCTGGTCTCACTTACATCCACGACAGAAACATCATTCACTGCGACATCAAACCCGACAACCTCTTACTCTCTCCTACCGCTCAACGCTTCAGGTCTACAGGCTACTTGACCAAGATTGGTGATTTTGGATTAGCTATGGAGAAAGGGTCGCTAGAGTATGGTAACGGATACGGCCACAAGAGAGGCACCACGCGGTATATGGCTCCAGAGCTTATTGGGCATGGGGTTTTGGACTTTGGAGAAGATGTGTGGGCCTTGGGATGCACAGTCTTGGAGATGTTATCAGGAAAAACAGTTTGGGGAGAGTATGGTGATCTTGCTTTTGATGATTGGGTCAATCTCATTGGCCACAGCGATCGTATGCCTCATGTACCGGCTTGGTTGTCTAAAGACGCATTAGATTTCTTGAGTAGATGCTTGGAGAGAGACATTAACAAGAGGTGGTCTACTCATTCACTCAAGAACCATCCCTTTGTTCTGCTATGAGGAAGGCGAAGAGGAGAAACTCAATGATGTTTAATGTTCTTCCAATTGTTTGGAACAGTTTTTTGTTATGTTTTGTCGTTTGGTAAAGTATTGTAACTGCTACATGTATCACTTTGACTTCTGTTTCTAAAACTGTTAGTATATTGTTTCATATGATAATTTGTAGATTGATGAAGTCTTCTAGTTGCTATTTGTATCACTTTTTGAGTTGTGTTGTCTTTCATTATTAGTAACATAGTTGCAGAACCAATTCGGTATGACTGATTGTTGAGTAAAGAGATTCAATTCTGAGAAAGCTGTTAAACAAATGACACTGAAACCATCACAAGAGGCAAACGAATTTGGAAAACCATATTTAGACATAAAAAGCTCTCAGATTTGGCTAGCCAAACATATAGAAACTGTCAATTCAGATCATAGCAGATCAACATGACAGGATGTGAGTGATATATTAGCTACCATAACACAAAAGATGCAGCAGAAACGGTGCTTATGTAATTAATTAGTATGTTTCAAAAAAAAAAAAAAAAAACAGAACTGAACGAGCCATGACTTTGAGTAGATTGGGATGCTTCAAGGAGAAAACATGGATTTAGAGTTTTGTTATAAGATGAAGAAAACAATCAATCACTGTTCCTAAATTATTATATTCTAGTGTCAATGCTTGTATTACACGTTATGTAAAATAGGGCATCCAAGTGAATACAAGTTATCAACAGCGTTTCCTATCCATCCAATGCACTTTTATGGAACGTCTTGACGTCCATGTTTGCCAAACTTGGAAGATATGGTAGAGTGTTTATCAAATTTTGTTTTCATCTAAGATCTTTCAAGTTTTTACAAAATTGGAAATATATAAACCAAATGAATCAACTCATTTGTTTCACTATGATAAGTGGGACCCCTACTACCATGATTCTTATCAAGAATCAAGATTTAGCGAATACCTTAATAAGTTGATCATTATCAATGCACCTTTTGAAGAAGAAACAGGAACAAAACATACAAAACTATTTGTCCTGACTCGCAAACCAACGTAACTCAAGTTTCCAAGACTCAAGAGTCGTAATAAAGGAATGTGTTGGTACAAGAAAGACTAACAAGTTATTTTCCGGTGATTCTTCCAAACCCGGTATAAGTAGATGATGAACAAATGAAAATGGAGACAGAGAGAGAAGAGATTGTAAGCATTTAACGCTTGACCCATTGGAAACTCTTTCTTGCCTTGGCTTTTCCAGGTTTCTTCCTTTCCACAGCTCGAGAGTCTCTTGTCAGAAAACCAGCTGCAAACATATCCAATATGAAACAGTAAGATCACGATCATCAAGAACAATCAACCATATAACATGCCTGTATCTCTGCTAAAGATACACAGAGTCTATAACGCGTTTAGGATCTTGCTTACCAGCTCGAAGTGCTGTCCTCATATCTGGTTCCCAGTTTTGCAATGCCCTGCTGATACCCAACTGAATAGCTCCAACTTGACCTTTAAACCAAACATTTTGAGTAAACCGTTAGCCACAGTTGAATGCTTGAAGTTTGTTCATTTGCATAAAGCGATAGCAATGTTATCTGCTTACTTATACTAGCTAGTGTAACTACAAGTGACTATACCAGATTAGGTAATCGTTGAGGGGTTTTTACCTGTAGTTCCACCGCCATTAACAGTGCACTTAATATCCCAACTACCTAACGTTTTAGTTTCAGCAAGCGGGCGTAGAAGAGCAGCACGGTGATCAAGCATAGGGAAATACACATCGAACTCTTTGTCGTTAACAAGAAACTTCCCTTTCCCTGGAACAATCCAAACACGTGCAGTACTACACTTCCTTCTCCCGGTTCCATACGCTCTCCCAGATTCATCCACTTGTCTCACCCTCGCTTTAGCAATCTCCTCTTGCATCTGGAGTTCTATCGCAGCTCTTGACGACTTCTTAGAACTCTTCTCACGGCGAATGTTTTCAATCTCAGACAGAGGAGGCAACCCTTCAACTCCTTGGAAATCCTTCAAGGCTATCAAACTATCAAGCATCTCATCTGTTATACCAGACTTTGCAATCAAGTCTCCAAATGCTCTATCAGGACCTGCAACAATAAAGTAAATTCTAAATCAGTAAACCCTTACTCTAGTTTCGACTTAACTCCTTAATCAACTAAACACACTCACGTGATCATTAAATCCAAATCATGTGACCAGATTTGGATCATTATTTGTTTTATTAAGTAGAAAGTTAAGAACTTTTTGACCTTTGATGATCTCAGTGAGCTCTTTCTCTTCTTTTTCAAACACTTCCTTCTTGACACGCTCTTCTTCCTCATTCACCAAGCTATCATCAAAGCTAACAGGCATCATCTCTCCACTAGTATCAAACACGACCTTATCATCATCAGCTTCCCCCTCCTTCAAGTCCCATGGCTTAGAGGACGACACATCCCATCCATCAGATTTCACATCACCTTCGTTATTACCGAACACGGCTTTCTCATCTCCTTCCTCGCTCATGTTCCATCGCTTAGGCTCCTCCTTCGGCCATTGGCCATCTCCACCAGCTGAGGCGGATCCGGAGGAAGAGAAAGGATCGGACTTTCCGTCGTTTAATCCAGAGAAACTCCAGGGAGCGTCGTTTCGATTGTCATTTCCTCCGCCGCCGCCGCCGGTGCTGTTGGTGGAAAGGGGACGGAGAAAGGAGGAGGAGAGGATCTGAGAGTTGGATTGGGATGAAATTAGGGTTACGAGACGGAGATTCGAAGATCTAAGGAATAAACGAGAGAGCATGGTGAAGTATAGAGAGATTTGGGGGAAAAGAGTTGCAGATGTTGGAAGAAGAACGGTTAGGGTTTTACTTTAAAATTCTTTAACACTAAATAACCAGTCCGGTTTAATCAGGTTTGTTCCGGTTTGGTTAGCAGTCAATTAATTTATATATGTTTTCCTTTTTTTTCTCCATATATATTTTTTCTTCCTAACTGCTGCTTCCTCTCCGTCGAGGTTTTTGAGTGTTCCCGGAGATTTGCATACAATTGAATTGAATCGAATCGAATCGAGATGGTTTACATAGTTTCGTGGGACGAATTCGTAGATCGATCTGTTCAGCTTTTCCGAGCTGATCCCGAATCTGTACGTTATTATCTTTTTCTCTCTCTCGATTTCGTTCCTCACTGTTTCGCTTTTTGGAAGTTTAGATTACAATCCGTAGATTTTATCGTATTTGGTATTCAATTGCTGATATTGAGTTCCGTGGTGTTTGGTGGCGATTCGGTAGAGGCAAATCTTACATGTTCTTTTTTTAATGAGTTTGGATTCGATGTTTTGTGATGTAGACTCGGTATGTCGTCAAGTATAGACACTGCGATGGCAAACTAGTTCTCAAGGTTACTGATAACAAAGAGGTATGTGTTATCCACTGTGCGTCTACTTCTCTATTTTTTTGTATCTTTTTTTTATGGTATGATGCTGATCTGGAGAATGCTAATTTAGGGGTTTTCTATGATTATTCATAGACTTTATCTTTGGTTGGTGCTGTTATCCTGCTTTGGTTTTGGTGGATGTTGAAACATGTTTGTGTTTGTTAGTCAAAGTTCTATGGTTTAGGCCTCCTTGTGTTACTTATATAGCTTGCAGTTGCACCATCTTAATTACCTCTCCCTGTCATTGTAGCTTTCTTGTGCAAGCATATGATAGATTTTTTTTTTCTTTAAATTAGTGTCTCAAGTTCAAGACAGACCAAGCACAAGAAGCCAAGAAGATGGAGAAACTGAATAACATCTTTTTCACACTCATGGCCAGAGGACCTGATGGTAAGAAGAATGAATGAATGTCACATTACGTTTGAAAGGAGTTCTACTTTTGTGTGGTGTTCATTGGGCTTTATAGCTTTTTCAGTTTATTTATCTGTTGGCTGTTGTAAATTGCAGTTGATCTCTCTGAAGTCACCGGGAAAGAACCGATGGAGACGCAGCCTGCCAAGAAAGGGAGAGGAAGAAAGCAATAAGTCTCGTTATTTAATCTGTTTTTTTTCCCCCTCATTTTTGTCAAGATTTTCCTTCATTTTTGTTAACTATTTTGAGATGGAGTTTTTTATAATTATTTGGCTTTTGAACTCTTTTTGTTATGATCGTATCCAAGTTAACACATTGAAATCATTTATTTTTAAGTGTTCAAAGAGAATGGAAACGATATGCAATAAGATCATCCCCATGTTTTGTTTCTTATGACTGTTTTTAAAACCAGTTAGTACGATTATTTGGTGATATATTATGTTATCTGGTGCCTGTAATAAATTGGAATCAGAATAGATTAGGTATATAGAATGAAAATGTTGATGAACTATGTTATTGATATGATGGTGGTTATAATTCTATATACACAAGAGCAATTAGGATCAAACCTAAGTAATAAAAAGGATCTTAAAGTGAGGATTGATGAATAATGATAATGAAAGAAAAGTAATCAGGGAGATTGATATGATGATTTATACGTCCCCTCAAGCTAAAAGGCAGTGCGAAATTGTACATAAAAAACAGTTTGTATATGAATTCATAATTTTTTGTTTGATAAGGTAAAGAAGCGTCATGATTGAATTATGTGTAGCTTTGAGTAGATTTACCGTGATGAAGAAACTTCGAAAAACATGTTCCAAAGAAGCACATAGCTTTATCGAAGTGTGAACAACTTAAACAAATGATCCTCTGGATCACGAACTACAAAAATCGTTAAGAAGAATAAAAGTTGATGGAGTCGACCATGGTGATTTTTTTTTTAATGAACAAGGACAAAATTGTAGAAAAAAATGAGTTTGTTGGTTACTAAACCCTTTATCAAAAAAAGAAGAAGAAGGAAATGTAACATACTCTGCTGTCATATTGAATATGAAAAACGTTCTTAAATTTTATATAGAGATCTCATCTATTATATAAAGAAGAGCAATCTCTCCTCTGAAGGCATCCACATCAGCGTCACGCTGGAATGTCGACGTAAGACGGATTAAAAAAATTGGGCTTACTTACAAATTTCATGGCCCGTTTAACCCAAGCTTCCTAAAAATATTGTCTGCTCCTTTCACCACCGTCACTCACGACCCTTTCTTTTCTTCCTCGCCTCAGATCACAAACGGAAACGGCAGAAGTTAATGGTTTGCTATCAATGTTACGACGATGATATATGTAAGCCCCCTCCTTCTAAAATTTTCGTTCAATCCTTTGACTGCAGAATGACTAATTCCACTGTCTATTCCTCCGATTTGAAGATCGGGAGGAGCTCATCCGTCATTCATGCACGCGTCTTACGGCTCTGGGAGGCACGCCGTATGAGTCATGGAACATGAAGTTCATCGATCTGCTACTCATCGATAGGCATGTAAGCTTCACATCTTTATTAACTTTTACTTGCTTGATTTAAACCTTTTTATGTTATGATTGGGTTCTTATTTCTGTGAATCCAGAAACTAGGGTTCTTAATTGTGTGAATCTGAATTCATGTTATGATTCTGTTTTTCTATGTTAGAGAATTTAGTCCAGAAAATCTCTGTTTTTCTAAGTTAGTAGGTTTTATGACTGTTATTGTCATCTCCGATTTGATAATTAATTGGATTAGGTAACCCTGAGTTGTAATGTTGCTACCAATTTGAGATGATTTAGGTTTAGATTGATTCATAAAACCATTGATCGGGACATGACAACTGGATCATATAATCAAAATAAATTACGTTCTGTCAAGAAGTCTTAGATGGTACAATGACTCTAGCAGCAAGAGACAGGGCTGTAAAAGAATTCATATTCTTATAGCTATCAAGAAGATATGAAAATAACATTCAAAATAATAATATGCAGTTGGTGCTTATGAATCACGTTTTATGTTGATTGGTATAAGGAAGTACTGTTGATTGGAATAAGGAACTCGGATGTGTAGTGTTGCTTTGACGTGAAGTAGTTTCTAGGGTTCTTATTTGTTTAAATGTGCGAAAACCTTGAATCAGTCTTTAGAATAAAGAAAAAAATCATTGACTATTGTTCATCAGTTTTTGGGATTCGTTTATTGCTCTGATTCTGTTTTCATTCTGTATGAGGTGCCCAACTTATTTGAATCAAGTGTTCCATCTTAATGTTATGATTCGTCTGACTAGAAAGGGATTGTTAATTAAAGATTCGTGACTGGTTCTATATGAGTCATCAGATGTATGAATTGATTCTTATATACGCTTGCACGTCTGATTCTGATGTGGGTCTAACTGGTGACTGTTTCACTGAGGATAGCTCTATATGTAGGCATATATATATATATATATATATATATATATATATATATATATATATATATATATATGTATATATATATATGTGTGTTTATTGAAATGGTTTTAAAAAATACAGAAAGCTCAACTTCATTATGGTTTTGAAGTGTATGCAAATGCATTATTTATTCATTGTTTTGTTATATTTACTAGGAAATCGTCCCAACTATAATTTTTATTTACAAGGAAACGCATATGCTAATAGATTTTGGACAACTTATGTATATATTTCTGATATATGCTTGCTGTGTTACTGGGGACCATCATGTTCGCGAAAATCAATGCTAAACGTTATCCATCCTTCCGGCCTATGCTCTCCGCTGGGTTGATGTATTCCCTTTCTGAGTTTGACGTCGCTCTGTGTGCTCAAAAGTTCATGCTTACTGACTCCTTCTTGGTCATTCTTTTTAATGAGTCAACGTGTTTGGAAGAGTTGACCAATCCGATCTATTCATTCCCTGAAGAAGCTTTCCATTTCTGTGATGCAGCTGGGTTGCTTCGACTTACTGACACAAACCGTCGGCTCCCAGGTAACCGTATTTGTTAGGCTCGCAAAGAATATTCCCATTATCTATTAATATAAACTTCTTTCAGACATTATCGCTGAGATAACTGGTGTGAGGAGTACCGTTAAAGAGCCTCTGAAAGGCAAAAACCACGTCATGGCGACAGTAAAGATGGACAGGTTTCTCTTCCTTCTTACAACTTTTTATATAACTTTTTATTTGGAGATACCTATGTTAATTCGGTATGGCTAACTACAAGTTAATTTCAGCGGAGAAACTGTTATACTCAGTCTATTCGACCCTGAAGCAATCTCCTTCCACAGAAAGCTTGAATCCATGATTGTTCCTCCAATGGTGGTTGTTGCCACAAACGTAAACCCACCCGAGAATTGTTGGAGGTAGTGCAATTTTATTGATTTAAAGTTTCCAAGTTTGCTGGTGTTTGAAATATTTACTGATGAACAACCTGCTTCTGTGTAGGGCGTTTGTTCGTCAATGCCACTCCAGGGACACATGTTTACTTTGACGGAATAACCAGCGCTGGGCAGGACCGTCTAACTCGGTTAGTTGGATATGTTTTCCCAAATTCAAACTCACTACATAGAAATGTGAACCAATTACATGTGTTTATGTAGATTGGCCGCTAGAAAGACTGGTCTACCATCAACAGAGCCGTTATTAAGAGAGATTCCAGAAGTCGAGCAATTGACAATAGCTCAGGCCAATAGCTTTGCCATCCTCCATCCCTCTGAGGTAAATTAGCTACCATGTTGTTCTCCTTTTAGCTATCTGTGGTCTGACTATGTTTATCGTATTTTAAAAATAGGAATTTGAGATTCTGTGCATAGGGAGAGTTACTCGGATCAACTCTGAGAAAGGGTGGTCCTACGTTGCTTGCTCTAAATGTAGCAGGGAACTCCAGCGCAATAATTGTGGTTTTACATGTGTGCGATGTGAGAATACTAACGCTGCTGGTGTTTTACGGTATGAAACAGGCTACTCCATGTAGTTATCTTATTCCTTTTCATAATTTATCATTAATACTACTAGGAAACAATCCCGCGCGTAAACGCGCGGGAAAAAAGTTTTTTTCTTCTAATTTTGTTTTAATTTATTTAATTTATATTAATTATTTAAATAATTTTAAATTGTAATGTAGTAATTAATATTCTTAGAAAAATAACAATTTTTCTAGTAGAATACATATATAATAAAAGAACAGTTTATAAATAGCTTGTATGAAAATGAGAAAATATTATGTTATTTTTATGAGAAAAATAAAAGTGTGGTGTAGTATTCCAATATTAAGTAACACAATTTTTTTTAGTGATTTTTAATTTTTATTTTCTTTGTAGCGTTTTATTTATTGAATTGCTTCTTTTCTTGCATTTATATCGTCATTTACTTTGTTTTAAATCTTATTGTTTTGCTGCTTTTTAATTTCCATAAAAAACTTATTTACTACACTTCCTAAAGTCTCCTCATCACTCCTGCTTATTACAAACTGTTAAAATTCAATGTTAATTTTGTAATATTTTTTATTGTCTTTTATAGATAGATACTAAAATTGAGTAAAACAATTATTATTTCGATGCATAAAGTGTTTCAAATCTATTGTACCGTTTTAATATTGATTGGGTTGTATGTAATTCTTGAAATTGTAAATCCAGTTGAAGTTGATTTATACTTAAAAGATGTGACTTTATCATTAAATTTTCTTATCACTTGAATATTGTTTGATTATTCATGCATTTAGGAATTTATACATACATAGTCTTTATTTATACACTGTAGTTTAATAATAATTATAAGTAATACACTTACTTGAAATTTAATCAAGTCACTTGCAGTTTAATCATTATCCTAATTATGTCTTGTTGAAATAATATTATATTTGAATCATCTTCGAGAATAATTTTAACATTATATCTACTTTAATATGACAATGGATTATTGAATAATCAGTTATCTAAGTTTAAAAAGAACTTTCATCGATTTTAGTTCTCTTAAGTTGCTAACAATGTCTGGTCTTATACATTTTTTTTGCAAATAAGTTCCAACTCATTTTTAATAGTTTCCTTAAAAAAAATTCATGATTATAAGATATGTAATTCCATCTACTTCCTGAATTAATTTTTAAAAATATATATTTTAATTTGATGATAAACTATTTTTCCTGTCAATTAATGTTACGCATATGATTATAAAATTTGTATATAATGATGAATATCTGGAACTGTGTAAAATCAAATGTTACTATCAAAATAGTTAATGATTTAGCTACTTCAAACAAATCTTCATAAATGAAATATCTATGTTATTTTGACAAAGTTATTATTTGTTTTCATTAAACTGCATTTGTTCTTTAATTGTACTGTAAAAATTCTTATAGACCACAAAATAGTGAATTATATTTATATATATATAGGTTTTAATTCTAACAGTATTTTATATTTAAAACTTACCTTGTTTTGAAAGATTGAATAGTACCCAAGTGATCATCTTCATATATTTTTGAGGTTGATGTTGTGTTTAAGTAAATATATCTTATTATTTTCATGTTTACACGATTTTTTTATATAAAAGGAAGCCGAACCCACCTTCCATCTATCTTATTAAAGTTGTAGTACTCTTTAGGTTTGTTTGGAAACTTAAATAGTAGTAATAAAGAGTTTAATGTTGTTTGGCTATAGGTTTAAAGGAGTTGGGCTTTTAAACATTGATATAATAGAATTGGGTTGTTTAATTTATTTTATGTTATGATTGGCTTTAATCATTTGGCCCATTGAATTAATTTGTGTTTTTAGTTTATATTTTATATAAAGACCATATTCAGTTTTATTTATTGTTGACTAAATTAAAAATAACATCAGTTTTTAAGATAATAATAATTTACATTTCAAATAATTTAATACTCAAATATATTTTATCTAAAGTATTTTACATTATTCAAATTATCATAAAGACACAAAATATTTGAATAGTTTAAACTAAAATATTAAAATTTTGTTTTTGTAACTGGATATTTATCCGAAACACCTATCCCCAAAATCAGTTTTACCCCGATTAATCTAAAACTAGATCTTGATCCGCGCGCCCGCACGGGTATTTTTTTATAATTACATAAACAATTAAAACACACAAAAACTTAATAATTTTATATATTAGTTTCATATAATGGGTTCATTTGTCAGATTTTATTATATATATATATATATATATTTGTGAGTTGTTATATAGTTCTCTTATTGTATGAGTTTTAAAAGTTGAATCTACCGTTTGAAAAGATGGGTATCCAATATGTAAGTCAATCTGATTTTTCAATTGAAAACTTAAATTCAATTTTATATTATATTTAAACACTTAATAAATTTATTTTATTGTATTTTTAATTTTTATTTTATTTTATAATTATATAAACATTTAAAATACACAAAATTTAATGATTTTATATAACAATTTCATATAATGGGTTCATTTGTTAGATTTTAGTTTATAATTCATAGATAAATTACTTTCATGTTTTTGTATTGTGTTATATATATATATATATATATATATATATATATATTTGTGAAGTTTTATATATTTCTTTTATTGTATGAGTGTTAAAAGTCGAAGCTACTGTTTGAACAGATAGGTAACCAATATGTAAGTCAATCTAACTTTTTTTATTTAAAATTTACATTATATTTAAACACTTATTAATTTTAATTTTATTGTATATTGAATTGTATGTTGTAACTCCAAATTATTACAAAATGATTTAAATCATCTATTATATATTTTTATATGAAATCGAAAAATAAAGAAAATGGATTTTAAAACTTTATCATGTTTTTAAACTTGATTTTTATTTTATTTGAATACTAATATCTATAAGTATACATGTAATACATATAAACTATGCATTTTCTATAATTATATTATTTAACAGGCCATCGAAATGCTTCTTTATGGGCTGGCAAAAACAAACTTACAACAGCCCAACAAAATAATAATTAGACATTAATCAATACTATTGTGTTTTAACTTCAGTGGCATAAAGTTATAATTTTTGTGGAAAACTAAGGGGTATATACTATTTGTACTTCCCCTTTAATAGTTTAGATTAATCCTAGAAATCGTAACCAAACCGTTATCATATTGGAACCAAATATTTATCTGATATTAGTCGGTTATTATAATTATTACCAAACTCAGCTCAAACCAAAAGAATCGAACCGGACGCAAATCAATTTATATAGATAACAGAACAGATCGTATATCTGTAGAATTAAAAAAACTACGAACATAAAGAATCCAACAAAAGTTGAACCCAAAATCAAACCCCAGTCCAATTACATTCAATACGATCATAGTTTTTGAAATACGGTAATAACCGATGACTTATGAATATATAATGTTTTTCCAAATTAAGTTAAATCCGCGCCGGTGCGCGGGTCAAGATCTAGTTTATTTTATTGTTAAAACATAATTTCCTTATCAAAAGAAAATTTGATGTTTATCAAAACTTCAATATAATAATTTGCACTTTGCTTCCTCGGTCAATAGATATTATTGTAATAATTTATACACGATTGAAACTATGTGCTATTATAAAACTGTGTGATAATAGTAATAAATTTAATATCTAACTAATTTGAAGTTTGGGGGTAGTATGTGACAACAATAGTTTTTATTATGTTTTCTTCAACCACAAGACAAAGACTGGACAAAACACATTTATTTTATTTGCTATTTATAGAGAAATCTTATGCAACCCATTTCATCGTCTCACACCACAAGTTTGACAGCATGCTTTGACCAGAAGACACATAAAAAAAAATAACAAAATTTCGATAATTTTCAAAAATGTTTTGAGTAGAAAGTATGAAAGATTTTTTCAATATATATATACGAGTACACTTAGAATAAAGTTAGTGAATGTAATCGCATATTTTAGAAACAATGTTTAGATTTCAAACACTTTAAAGCATTGTTTATGAAAAGAGGTTGAATTTCAAAAGTTTATTTATTATATTTAATATATAATGATTACTTTTATTTATCATTGATGTGTTTAACTAATTCTTCTAGTTGGAGATCTAAGTTAATTCTTTTTTGTCTAGTATTCATATCTTTTGTAATTATCTTTTTTACAACAACAACACCAATAATATCTATCACATTATCTTTATAAATATAGATTATATACGTTCAAAAGTCCTATATGTTGATTTCCTTATTTTATTTTTTAAAAAATACCTTTTGTCTACAATTTCCATAAGTTGATCATAATCATTTTTTTTTACAATTTATTAATACACTCTTCGCTAACATTTGAAACTAGGTGTTTTGCCCGCAATTGCGGGCTTAATAATTTTACTAATATCTATAAACAAATATATAATCAATTTAAGTAAATTATAATAAATTATTGTGCATACACTCAAAACATTTAGTAATAATCGAAACAGATTTTTTTTATATATAAAATTTTTCATCATCATATAAATAAATTTCATTGCACAAATTAAATGTGAAGTTCTCATAAATTTAAAATATTTAGTAATAAATTAATATGTTTTCCAGACATAACAAAAAGAAGTATAATAAAATTAACTTTAGTAATGTTTTGGATAACACAATATAAATTAACTATACATATATTCTTTGCAAATTGATTTTTTCATAATTAAATATATATTAACAAATATAATTATTTTTCAAGGTTAATAAAGACTTTATAGCATAGTATAAAAAAGTTAGATAAAGATAATTATTAAATTCATGAAATTCGTGTTAAATTTAGAATTAATTATATATTAACAAATATAGTTATTTTCAAGGTTGATAAACATAATATAATTTTTTTAAATAAGGATAATTATCAAATAAATGAAATTCGTTTTTAATTTATAATTAATTATATATTAACAAATATAATTATTTTTCAAGGTTAATAAAGACTTTATAACCCAATATAAAATAGTTTTAGATAA